TATTAAGGTTTATATCTGGGGATATTTTGTTAGTTTTCTTTGATGTTTAATTGAGTATTCAACTCATGGGTTAAGAAGAATACATCAAAGGTTCGTTTGTTCATTCTATACAAAAGAAAGAGTTATTCTTCGGTGGATTCTGAATAATTTAAGCCTGAAGCTTTGGTGGATTCTAGGGTGGCTCATCGTCAAGTCAATTCCGAGATGATGACGGTGTTGGAAGAGACACATAGGGGTTAGTTCTATTTGGGCGTGGATTCGCTAGGTAATTGAGAGTATACCTGTGTAATTCCTTTATGTCTTTTTAGTGGATTATTTTGTGGCTTTTGCCCGTGATTTTTTTTATCACAATTTGAGGTGTCCAATTGTGGTTTTTCCACGTAAAATCGTTGTGTCGATTTGTCTTGATTGTTTGATTAGAATTGTTGTTTACTGCTAAAAATTGATACATAATCACAAATCAACATTTAAGAGATTTCTAGATTTTTCAAAAAAGCTTGGGCTCTTCAAGATCTTCATTTTCATCCGAGTGGAAGTTGATTTCGGCGTCTTTGGAGTTCATCTCTTGCTTAGCTCGTCTTTTCTTCTTGAGGTTGGGATATTCTAATCTCTTTTATGAGCTTTAACATAAGTATTGGTCATTTTGTATAAATTGTGGGATTTGGGATTTTTGGGTGAAGTTAGGGTTTGAAATTGAAATTATAAAAGAGGGGTTTTCTATTTTTGGGGTTCCAAGTGTATGCGTAGTTCCTAAAATGAGGTTATTGTGTATGATTGATGAAATTTGGCTTTTGGGGCAATAATTGAGAAAAAGAGAAAAATGCCCTAATTGGGATTTATTGAACCAATTGTATAAATAACGAAATTATTATGGAAATATGGAATTCAATTGAGAATCATGAAATTGGAGAAGATTGTGATGAAATAGTGTAGTTTGGTTGATATATCATTCACCTATGGAAAATGCAATAATTTATCTATCTGATAGATTTATTTATTTATTTATCTGTCTAGATATAACTATTTTGGGCTATCGGTGGATGATAGTCATGATTGTTGTAGAACTGCATGATGATTAGGTAAATTGAAACTAATCAATTGGGTTATGTCATTGAATATGACAGTTGAATTAACACATTGAATATGTGATATGAATGATCATTGTATATGATAACGTGTTTAAATACATTATATATGTATCTTTGTTTAGGAGAAGAAATGAGATGTACTCCATTGTGTGGGAGGAGATAGGGGATGTACTACACTATTTGGGAGGAGATAGGGGATGGACTCCATTGATAATTAAGTTGGCCGGAGTGTCTCGAGCGAGCTTTGCAATTTTTGCTCATCCACTCGAGCGGCACTTCTTGCGCTCGAGCGGAATTTACAAACTCTCAGTACTTTGCACGTCTGCAAAAGTACTGGAGGGGTTTTTTTCATGCTCGAGCGGCATTTCCTACGCTCGTGCGAGTGGGCGCTCAAGCAGTTTGTCTGTTGTCTGCAAAAGTACCGCAAAGTGTATTCTGCACTCGAGCGGGCCACTTCTTGCGCTCGAGCGGAACAACTTATTGTTTCTGACACTCGAGCGTCAACTCTTCTGCTCGAGCGGACTGTGCATATATCAGATTGCGAAAGTGACATTTTATATCACCTTTTCATTCTTTTCTCTCTCTGAAACTTTCCAAAAACCTAAATCTTGACCCTCTCTCTCTCTAAAACATACACTCTCTCTTTCTCTCTACATTTTGGCCTAGATCAAGTGATCTCCTCACCCTTTTTCATTCATTAAAAATGTTAGGTTTTATTCTTGGCAATCTCGCTTGACAAAACTCCTTTCAGTTGTATTTATTTTCGCACTTTTTATTTCAGTGAGGCTATGAGTTTTTAGATGCGAATCCAACCCGAATTGTGACGGGGATCGAGCTGAAAGTTTAGCTCGCTGGGGTCAAGGGGGCAGCGCCCCTTGGCGGGTCCAGGGCAGCGCCCAGGCGGGGTCGAGGGGCAGCACCCCCGAAGTAAAATGCAAAATTGCATTCGAAGTTGCATGTCCGCCCTTGTTCGCTCGAGCAAAGGAGTTCTTGCTCGAGCGAAGGCTGTGTCTGGCAAAAAACTTGAGAATGATGAATGTACGCTCGAGCAAAGGTTGTGTGGCTCAAGCGAAGCCACTTATGGAAAAACACGCGAGATTAGTTCCTCGCTCGAGCGAGAGAGTCTTCGCTCGAGCGAGCTTCGCAGTCCCAAATTTCCATAAGTACGTGTTTCTGTCAGATTTTAGAATTACTGCTCTAGATCTTCTTTTTGGATATTAAGGTTTATATCTGGGGATATTTTGTTAGTTTTCTTTGATGTTTAATTGAGTATTCAACTCATGGGTTAAGAAGAATACATCAAAGGTTCGTTTGTTCATTCTATACAAAAGAAAGAGTTGTTCTTCGGTGGATTCTGAAGAATTTAAGCCTGAAGCTTTGGTGGATTCTGGGGTGGCTCATCGTCAAGTCAATTCCTAGATGAAGACAGGGTTGGAAGAGACACATAGGAGTTAGTTCTATTTGGGCGTGGATTCGTTAGGTAATTGAGAGTATACCTGTGTAATTCCTTTATGTCTTTTTAGTGGATTATTTTGTGGCTTTTGCCCGTGATTTTTTTTATCACAATTTGAGGTGTCCAATTGTGGTTTTTCCACGTAAAATCGTTGTGTCGATTTGTCTTGATTGTTTGATTAGAATTGTTGTTTACTGCTAAAAATTGATACATAATCACAAATCAACATTTAAGAGATTTCTAGATTTTTCAAAAAAGCTTGGGCTCTTCAAGATCTTCATTTTCATCCGAGTGGAAGTTGATTTCGGCGTCTTTGGAGTTCATCTCTTGCTTAGCTCGTCTTTTCTTCTTGAGGTTGGGATATTCTAATCTCCTTTATGAGCTTTAACATAAGTATTGGTCATTTTGTATAAATGGTGGGATTTGGAATTTTTGGGTGAAGTTAGGGTTTGAAATTGAAATTATAAAAGAGGGGTTTCTATTTTTGGGGTTCCAAGTGTATGTGTGGTCCCTAAAATGAGGTTATTGTGTATGATTGATGAAATTTGGCCTTGGGGGCAATATTTGAGAAAAACGGAAAAATGCCCTAATTGGGATTTACTGAACCAATTGTATAAATAACGAAATTATTATGGAAATATGGAATTCAATTGAGAATCATGAAATTGGAGGAGATTGTGATGAAATAGTGTAGTTTGGTTGATATATCATTCACCTATGGAAAATGCAATAATTTATCTATCTGATAGATTTATTTATTTATTTATCTGTCTAGATATAACTATTTTGGGCTATCGGTGGATGATAGTCATGATTGTTGTAGAACTGCATGATGATTAGGTAAATTGAAACTAATCAATTGGGTTATGTCATTGAATATGACAGTTGAATTAACACATTGAATATGTGATATGAATGATCATTGTATATGATAACGTGTTTAAATACATTATATATGTATCTTTGTTTAGGAGAAGAAATGAGATGTACTCCATTGTGTGGGAGGAGATAGGGGATGTACTCCACTATTTGGGAGGAGATAGGGAATGGACTCCATTGATAATTAAGTTGGCCGGAGTGTCTAGGGTGAAAGTCCCGAAACCTTTTATACATCTGAATGATGTTGATGATTGAAGTGTTGATAATATGAGTTGTAGTCTCATTTTGAACTGTTGATGAATTGAAGTGTTTGTCTATATGAGTTATAGTCTCATTTCGAATTGTTAATAATTGAAACGTTGATAGTATGAGTTGTAGTCTTATTTGGAATTATTTGAGTGAATAATGACCCACGTTTATAAATTAACTTGGGTAAGTGAATAGATATGTATTTGAAATGTGAATGTATTTGTTGGCAGTTTTGGTAAAGGGTGTAAAGCGGCTTATAAGTGTTAATCATTTATCGAATGCTAATGTTTTAGTTATTTCTCATATCTGGTTTAGCATATCTTTACTAAATTTTGGCTCACCCTATTTGAAACACCATTTTCAGATACAGGTGACATGCCTCTTCCAAGATCATAGCTTGGGAGGTCTTGAGGCTAAAGTCTCTGTTTTGGTTGTTTTGTATATGTCATATGTTTTCATTTCAAAGCCAAGGGTTTAACTTGTAAAGGGCTTTTGACCCTCTTTTGTTGTAACTAAGTGTTGACTTGGAAAGTTGTAAACCCATAAGACATTTACTTTTATTATCAACATGTAATATTTTCGGTAAGGAACACTCGCTAAGGGTTTAACTTGTAAAGGGCTTTTGACTCTCTTTTATTGTAACCAAGTGTTGACTTGGAAAGTTGTAAGCCCGTAGGGCATATACTTTTATTATCAACATGTAATATTTTCGGTAAGGAACACTCTAATGAATGAGCATATTGTATCCTCCTATGCCTATGGATATTATGAATGATTGATTTACACAATTATTTTGAGGGCGTTACAGTGATTATAGAGGATTTTACAAAGACAAAATGTTGAATTACTTGAAATCATTTCTATTTTTTAATTTTTTTTTGTATGTTTATTTATTTATTTATTTCGATAGAGGTTATTTATTTATTTTAAAGGGTCAAATTTTGCAACAATTGTACTCCAAATTAGTACTAGTTAAATGACCAAATATAATGAAATTTTGTTAAAATGTTAAAGAATATATTTTTAGAAAAATATTTAAATTAAAAAAAAAAAGTTATCTAAGACATTTAGGATTCCTAAACACATGTTTTCTAACACTAATATTAAGGTTAATCACAAAAAAGTTATTAAATAGTTTTTGATTTGAGTAATAAGTGGTCAATTATAAATTGTCGCATGCCTTGAGATATAGAAACTCTTACATAATGGATTAATGGAAAATCTTTTCGTATCGAATAATTACCAACCATGGACATACGGAAATACCAAAGGGATTGAGCACTTCATGGTATGCCTAAGACATTAAAAAAAAAAAAAAAACAGAACATAAGTTGCAGATACAGATACTAGACACCATATTTCCACTCTGTGAGCTTAACAAACAGTGTCTATATGTGTGTATATATATATATATATAAGATGGGCAACAGCCTCTCACTAATCTCTACCAAGGTTAGGGGTGGACTGCTACATTAGCCTAAAATTAGAGATTCCAACTACAGGGTTAGGGTTTGATATGTATATATATATATATTACATTACTTATATGAAGGATCACTTAACATCCGAGTCTAATCACTCTCTCTACTTGTTGCAGCCGCTTTCAATCTCTTGGCCGCATGGATAAATTCTGCAATCACTTGGAACTCGTCCACTTGCTGCCAAAAAAAAAAAATCTGTCAACATGGGTGTGTGCTTCATGTGTGCGCGCACGCACGTGAGAGAGAGAGAGAGAGAGACCTGTGAAGCAAAATGCTGTTGTACAGCATTAACCAATTGTTGTTTTGTGATATTAGGGTTAGGGTTTCCCTACAATTCGAAAAATCATAATTTACTAAGTAAATATGCCATAAGAAAGAAATCAGAAGGCCAAGATTACAAAAAGAGATAGTGAAGACCCACAAGTTTGAAGTTTCGCCAATATCTCCACAATGAGCTGGTTTGTAATTTTGCAAAGTTCAGTCTCTGATCATCAATATAAACATAAAAGATCAATTAGCAACTAGCAGTTGTAAATTCCACAACCGTAAAATATCTCCCAGTATAGATCTCCAAAATAAACAGTGCATATTTATTTGGGAGTTGAAAGATTAAGGTTTCAATACTTCAGAATTTCAAATCTTAAGTCACATAGTAACACCTTGATGCGAAAGTTCACCGTCATAGAAAGTGGAACGCTCATGAAACTGCGTCTAGCAAAAGTTTTTAAAATTGATGGATAAACTTACAAAATTAATTTGAAAATCTTATTGCAAGCAAGCATCACAATTCCCATTCAACCCACATAACCAGACCATCCAAACATTAATGTTATGTTCAGTAACATTTATGTATATTATTTTTTGTTTACTTTTTATAAAAAAAAAAAAAAAATTGTAAATTGTTAATGAAAACAAGTTTGCTTACCAGTTGAGACGTCTGAATATCGGAGTGAACTTTGTAACTACTCCGATTGGTAGGCTTCACTGATGTTGATGAAACCCAAGGCCTTGTATGCCGAACTCTAGGTTTGCTTAGTTTGCTGAATTCAATTGCACTGCCTGCCCAAAAAGAAACAATAACAACTTTAACCTAGTGATCAATATCAACAAAAAAACAAAATTAGAGGGACTTATGTGTAAGTCTTGATAGGTAGATTTATTATTCAATACGTCGTGTAAGAATTAATTAGCTTGTATGGTTTTGATTTTTAGAAAATAATTTTCAAAAAATTCTACTTTTTTATTTTTCGTATTTTAATGTTTTCAATGAATTTTTTCAATATTTTAAACAATTTTTTTTAAAAATTTTTAGACACACCTAACATAAATACACTAAACAAGTATAATATTTGTGAAAAAAATCTTTAAAAAATACACTAAATACAAAAATTTAATACATTTTTTTTTTTGTATTTTTGTGTATTTATTAATTTTTTAAAATATTTTTTCACAAATATTTTACTATTTAGATACATCTAAGTAAGATACATCTAAAAAAATTAAAAAAAAAAAATTGCTTCAAATTTAAAAAATATTCACTAAAAACAAAAAAACACAAAAAATAAAAAACTCAATTTTTAAAAAATTAAATTAAGAATTAAAATCAAACACACTGAATAGCGTTTTTCATCAAAATACTATTAAAAAAAATCAAAATATCACTAATTATAAATTTTAGCGATAGTTTAAAAAAATCGTTAAAAAATTAATCATAAAAAAAATCACTAATTGTAAATTTTAGCAATAATTTATAAAAATAATGTAACAAAAAAAAGTCACTAATTGTCTATTATGTAAAAAATTATCACAAAAAATTATTTTTAATAACGATTTATCAGGATTTATTTTCAATAAAATTTGATAAGATATAAGAAGCACTAGTATTTTATCAAAAAATTAATTGTTAGTGGGACATGGTTTTCCAAAAAATAATATAGTGTTTCGCGAGTTAATAAATGCTGAAACTTACAGAAATCGTTATCCTTATCACCCATGTCGGAGCTACTGCTAGCATTATCAAAATCATCATCTTCAACTTCATTCCCAGTGGGAGGTTCCAGAACACTCAGAGCATTCCTTTGTAGCTTCACTTCAACCCCGTTCTTTAAAACCTTGTGTGTGGAAGCATACATAAATTAAACAACCCATCAAAAGTTCATTCCATACCCAAAAAAGCTACCCATAAAAATACATCTCAAAAAAAAAAAAGAAAAAAAAAGACAAGAAATAAATTATCACTTTGTTTGGTTCTGATTCTTAAAAAATTTTACTTTTTTATTTTTCGTATTTTAATATTTTCAATAAAATTTTTTAATAGTTTAAGCAATTTTTTTAAAAAAAAATTTAAACACACCTAACATAAATACATTTACAAAATATAATATTTATGAAAAAAAAATTTAAAAAAAATACACTAAATACCAAAAAAAAACAAAAAATAGGTACATTTTTTGTATTTTTGTATATTTATTAATTTTTTAAAATATTTTTTCACAAATATTTTACTATTTAAATACATCTAAGTCATGTACATGTAAAAAAGCAAAAAAATTACTTAAAATTTAAAAAATATTCACTAAAAATAAAAAAATACGAACAAAAAAAAAAAATTTCAAATAACTAAAACCAAACACACTGTATGTTTTTTTTGTTGGGCGATCAGTTAAGTTCAAAGTCTGAATTACCAAACTCTTTCAACTTCACTCAACTACAATTTTACAATGGAAACGGCTAAGAAACACAGATACGTGGTACCGTGCCTGTTGTCAAGACACTATCATAACACTCATCAAACAATTTTCAACACTTAAACACATGAAACGCATCACAAGTTTAAATAAAATAAGTTCAAATCTAATAATAAAACAAAGACAATGCAACCTCTTTTAGAATTTAAAAATTATTTTATATTTGAGCAATCTTGAAACAAAAACAAACAAACAAAACAAAACAAAATAAATTGGATAAAATTAAAAGAATACTGTTGCCAACGGCGAAAAAAAAAATTATATTGAATTTGAGATTTGACATCATAAGCAGAACACACATATTCTTTGATTTCATGTCCCTTCTGTAGTTCGGTAAAATTAAACATTTTGCTAGGAAACAAAAATAGAAGAAAAAATCCGCAGCAATTGTTACTGGGAGAAACATAAAAACGACAAAAGCAGCTTGAACCTACTGACCTGTTTCTCCAAATCCATAAGGAAAATAATGACACAGTTTTCTATTCAATAAGAAGGGACCGAAAAGATGAAAAAAATCCTTTTCTGGGCACGCAATTTAAAATAACATATATAATTTAGTATTATTTATTTTTATAGGGTCGACTGTTGAATTCACACAGCCCAAAAGTTTGTAACCCTGAGTGTTGTTCAACTTGTATTTATTTGAGTTTCTCTCAGGCTTTATAAATTTCTTCATAATAGTAATTAGTTCAATTTAGAAGTCTTTCCATAATAAGGATGTTAATTTGAACTCGGCCCGACGAGGACCCGAATCCCCGACCCTGATTAGAATGATTTTTTTTCCAAAAAATACTCTCGCGGGAACGGCGATGGTATTTGAAATTGAAACCACAATAAGTTTCGGGCCGAAGACGGGGATAGCTTCCAAAGCCCCGGACCCGGCCCGTCCCCGTTTCTCTCCGAAGTGAAATTACTATCATACCCCTCTATATATATATATAAACCAAACCCAAAAAACACAGATACAACTCACATGGCCTCTCATCTCTCTCTCGATTTTGCTCTCTCTCTCTAAAAGCCTCGCTCCTCCGTCATTGTCCTTCTCTCCCTCACCGTCGATCTCCCTCTCTCCGCTGTCCCCCTCTGCCTCTTCCTCCACTGTCCTCCTCTCCCTCCTCCCATCACCGTTGAACTCAGATCTGCAAACTTAGATCTCGACCGTCAACGCCAAACGCAGCGGGGCCACCAAGTCTCCGATCTGCCTCATGTGGCTTGGATCTCGCTCCTCATGCCCGTCGTGCCACCAGATCCTGTCGTGCCTCATATGGCTTGGATCTCTCTCTCTCTCTCTCTCTCTCTCTCTCTCTCTCTTTACTCAGATCTCTCTCAGATCTATATCTCTTTGTGATGTTGGTGATGTTGATGATGTTGTTGTTGATGTTGTTTGATGATGATGTTGATAATGTTGTTGTTGATGTTGGTTGATAATGTTGTTGTTGATGATATTGTTGCTAACTTGCTGCTACAATTTGGCTTTGTTTTTTTTGGTCCGGAAAATTTTTGGGGTCGGAAAAATCCAATCCCCGTTAGGGGACGAGGACGGGGACTATGATAGGTTCCCCGTCGGGAATTGGGGTTGGGGACGAAAAAATTTATACCATCGGGGATCGGGAACGGGGACGGGGAGTGTGATCCCGGCCCCGCCTCGGCCCGTTGCCATTCCTATTCCATAACAGTCATTTGTCATATTCCAACTTCATTGTGATATTGGACTACTGCAAAACAAAATGCCAAAAAAGAATTATAACCCTAGCCATGGTCCTTTCTCATACTTTTACTCAAAATTGAGCCAAAAACAAATTATCCTTCCATAGAAAAGTACTCCAATGGCCAACTCAAATTTGAGTACAAATTTGATAAATGACACAATTGGAAATTTAGAAGTTTTTTTTCCCTCCCTTCAATTGAGAGTAATTTTAAATAGGAAAAATATTTACATCAATAAACAGACTATTAGCTCACAATAACTAGAAAGTCAACAAAGTCTAACACAATAAACCAAGTCCATCAAGCCAAGCCCAACTACATACAACCCCCATAATGGGAGAGAAATAAACCATCACAAAAGTTATCAAACTCCTCACTAGAGAAGTTGAGCCTGAAACCACACATTACAAAATCACTAGGCCAAATGCCCTTATTAATTTAGAAGCTATTAAATCACCCCAAATTGTCTTTAGATATTTGAGTAAAAAAAGGTTTATCTTATTTGGGTTAAAATTTGAGTAAAACTCATTTTGGTTTAAGTTCAAGTAAAGTGAGTGCAGAAAGATTTTGAGGATTTTTACTCAAATTTAAAGGGTAAGGAATGGAGATGCCTCTACTTAGCAATAAAATGGGTACAATTGATGAGATCAATGATTGACCTTGTAAATCAGGCACTCCATTATTGAGTGCAATGCCCGACTTCAACTCGTAACCGTGCAATGTGACATCCCCTCTCCCCCTTCTCCTATTTTTTTTAATTATATATTTAAAATTTTTTTTTAATTACAATACAATTACAGACCCAACAAAAAAAGAAAACAGATGTCTAGTCTTCATTCCAATAAATAAAATAAAATCAACATGTTTGGGAGTATTTAAAACTAAGCATGTGAGAAGTCAAAATGGAGAAGCTTAGAGCATCCATAATGGGATAGTTAAAAAAATGTGTAATAGTGTGTTATATAACAAAAAGTGATAAAAATGGGATCCAAAAATGTGTTAAGGTGTGTTAAAAGTTTATTAATTTTAAAGAGTAAGTGGTAGTGCAATGGATATATTAAAGTGTGTATTAAGAATATATATATATATATATATAAATATAGTAGAAGCTGCAGAGAAAAATGGGCAAACGTCTAGCCGGTCAACCAGCCAAATGTAATTTTTTTTTTAACTTTAAGGGTCCAGACGTTCGGGGGGACGATTGGCCGAATAATCCCACGGCACTTCCCCACGTCCCCCCCTCTCTCTCGCTAGTTAAAACAGTAGCCACAGTTAACACACAATACTAACAACTGACACTAACACACAAGTTAAAAACTCCATTGCAGCACAAAATAGTGTTTTGAACTGGCCAAAAATTAGCAACTAACACTAACACGTCATAATTACTTACTAAAATTACCAAAATATGGAAACAAATATATATATATATATATTTGATAATACAGATGTTTAGTGAGAAAACAAAATTTTAAATTTGGATGATTTCCACTTCTATTTCTTTACATTCAATAGAAGGGAAATAGGAGCTCAAACTCAGGAATTGCACCTGGCAAGAGAGCACCACAGGCCTTAGAAACTAGAAAGATAACAATAATGTGACTTAGCAAAAGAATTTAAAATAGCAATGATATGATTACAGTCAAATGAATAGAGGATAAAGTGGTGTAAAGGTAAAAAAGAAAATTACCAGCCAATGCCAACCACCAAGACCAACAGCCTTCTTGACGACACCTTGTAAACCCACCAAGACAGACTTTGTTCTGTTGTTCCCTGTTACAATAACTTTGGTGTGCCTAGGAAGAACAGAAAGCTCTTCATCCCCGCTTTCTTCCCGAAAAGGTAAGAGAATCCGAGAAGAACATAACTCAGGTTCCAACATTTTGGTCCCCTAAATTTCCCACTTCACAATTTCGAGCAACAAATAGAAATCAAACCCAGTTACTTCAAAAATAAGCAAAACACATCCGATTAAAATGCCTAAAACGTCTAAATTCAGTCAAAACCTTCCTTGTCATAAGCAGCTGACATTAAGAAAAAAATTAGAAAAACACCCATCAAAGCAAATTCGGTCTTCACTATTCAGTACCCAGAAGCAAAAATGTTGTATAACCTAGTATTCATATTGAATTGCAGACCCAGAAGAACCCATAAACTTCAATTCATAGAGTGTCTCTTGTTCTAATTTATACTCGGACTATTCTCTTCACACATTTCAATTGAATGAAGCTATGATAATACTGAAGATGAAAATCCCAGAAACCAACTGAAATCCCTGAAAACAATAAAGATTGAGGGTATGAGAGAGAGAGAGAGAGTTCTGTATTAATGTTGATTCTGGAAGGGGTCTGACACGAAATTTTGAAGGGAATGTTGAATGCGATGAGCCACAAAGTTCAATGGGCCTCTCAAATTCACGGATTTAGTTTGACAGCAATAAATGAGCAGCAATTGCTTCAGAGTTCAAATTATTATTAAAAAAAAGAAATAAAAGAAAAGTTTTACAAATTAAAAAATAAAATAAAATAAAATCATACTCGCTATCCTAAAAAAACCCAATTTACCTTTCAGCTTTCTCTCACTAATTCGAACAATTATCAGAAAAGTACACATACTGATAAATAAATATATATATATATATATACATATATACACACTCAATTTTCGATGAAAAAGAAACTTGAATTCTTGAGGGGGTGAGTGTTGGTTGACTAAACAGAAACCAAATAAGCCCTAGAATTTAGAAATTCTACAAAATGGTCGCGAATTACAAGAGAAGCAGAGCATTCAGAATCCAAATGCAATGAATCATGAAAACAAATAAGACACACCATACCTGTTCACACGACTCCGTGAAAGCAACAGAAACAGAGAAACACCGAATGCGAGAGCAAGAGAGAGGCGAAACAGGGGTTTTTTGGGGGCAAGAATTCGGAATTTGGGGTGGGATTGGAGTGGAACGCTACGGATCTGAAGGGAGAGGGAATCGAAGGTTTGAATTTGAAGGTGAGTATTTGAAAATGCACGACTTTTGAGAGTGGAGCGTGTGTGTTTGTGCACACTCTCTCTCTCTCTCTGTGTCTGGTGCTGAGGAATTCTTCAATCAATCAAACTGATGATGAGTGTGGAGAGAGAGAGAGAGAGAGAGAGAAGAAGACATGCTTTAAATGCTTACCAACTGCCATTGGAAACAACCTGGTTTCTCTATAGATAGTAAACCGGTCCCACCCAGACTTCCTTTGTAAACCGGCCTGACCGGTTTTGTCTCTGATATTGGTTGTGAGCTGATGTTGGCTCAACCATGGCTATTGAGCCGTCCTTCGCAACCCCCCACAAATAAGGCTCATTTTGATAGCAAGTTAAAAAAGTCAATTTTTTAATTTTTTTAATTAAAAAAATCAGTTTTTTTAGTCAAAAAAATTAATTTTTTACCAAAAAAAAGTTATTAAAAAAGTTAAAAAAATTAATTTTTTATCAACTTTTTAAAACAATCTTAAGTGTTTTTTTTGTTTTGCTTTGTTTTGTTTTACATAGGATGTCTAGATCAGTTTAACGCATAGTTGCTGGTCACAAGATGTTGCAGTTGTCAGAATTCAAATGGGAGAACAAACATTTAGGAAGACGATTTCCAGGCTTTTTTAACTATTTTAACTACAAAAAACAAAATAAGTTATTTTAGCCACAACAAACAAAACATCACATCCAACTTATAATCATTACACTTTTCTCTCACAAAAAAAATCAAAAAAATCAAAATGCCAAAAAGTCTTCTCAAACCAAGCTTTTTAACCCATGTTAAAATAGTTTAAAAAAATTAAAAAGTCAAAAAGCCAACACACATCCCAAACGGAGGCTAATCAAATTCCAAAACTTCATCCAAACGGTGAACAAATCATTGGTCACAAGCTCGTGATTAACACCATAAATAAATTATTTATTAATTTATTTACTTATTTAGTCATATCACATCTATTTTTTTACATATTTTTTTATAATAAATAAAAAAATAGTTTATAAATAAATTATTTATTAATTTATTTCAATCACGTCATCGCTTTATATTACTATACTTAGGGGGCGTTTTGGGAAGGCAGTAAAAAGTCAATTTTTTTAATTTTTTAGTTTTTTTACACTAAAAAAAATCACAAAAAAACTAGCTTTTTTAACACCAAAAAAAAAAAAAATCAAAAAGCCACAAAAAGTCAAAAATCAAATTTTTATCAACTTTTCAAAACACTACATAATATAAAAAAACACAAACTTTAATGTGACAAAAATAATTTTACCAAATTTATTTGATTATTTTAGACTATCAAAATGAAAATAAAAAAAAAATTATCCAGTGCTCTTATAGAAGGGTTATTTGGTTGATCTTGGATTAATGCTTTACACTATTCATCTCTGACACTAATCATGTTGTTTCCCTAAGACCAATACAAAAATGTTGGGTTCCATTATTTTAAGGAGAAATTACAAATCAATGTAAATTTAGAAAGAAAAAAAAATTATACACAGGTGCTAAATTTTATAAATATTAATAATTAAAATTATAAATTTTTTCATTTATCTATAAATATTTTTTCTACAATCCATTGAGTTGTAATTGCTCCTTATTTTAACCAATAAAATTATATTGGGGCCAAATAAATTTTTCTCCAAAATTATATATAATATTTTGAAAAATATTAAAAATGTATAATTTAGATCCCTAATGCTGTGTTTGGTTGAAATATTTGAGAAGATATTTGAAAAGAGAAATGAAAAAGATAGATGAAATATATATAAAATATATCTACATTTCGCCTAATTTTACACATTTTATTCCCTTTCTCTCTTCAAATTTTTTTCTAAATTCCTAATCAAATATAGCCTCCGTTTGGAAAGTAGGTTGACTTTTTGACTTTTTGGCTTTTTTAACTATTTTAACCTGGCCTAAAAAGTTTGGTTTGGAAATGACTTTTTGATTTTTTTGACTTTTTTGTGAGAGAATAATGTAATAATTATGGGTTGGATGTGATATTTTATTTTTTGTGATTAAAATAACCTATTTTATCTTTTGTGACTAAAATAATTAAAAAAAGTCTCGTTTAGCTCTTGCCAAACGGAGCCATAGGAAATGACATGACATTTTATATGGTTGCATGAATGATAAATTATTAACACCTGTTATATCATATTATTTTGAGTGAAATTAATTAATTATTTTTTTACTTACTTTAAAAAACTTAAACATTTTGCAATCTTGTTTGGTAGGGCTCACACCGCACAGGTAAAGCAAATATGTTGGTAGAAAAATGTTTGAGAGTTTTAAATTTGGAGCACTAAAGGAGCTTTAGGCTTGGTTTGGGAATTGGGTTGGCTTTTTGACTTTTTGGTTTTTTTGGCTATTTTAGTCTGGGCTAAAAAGCTTGGTTTAGGAAGGGCTTTTTGGCTTTTTGGCTTTTTTGACTTTTTTTGTGAGAGAAGAATGTAATGATTATGAGTTGGATGTGATGTTTTGTTTGTTATGGTTAAAATAGCCTATTTTATTTTTTATGGCTAAAATAGCCAAAAAAGCCTGAAAACTAACTTGCCAAACAGAGGCTTAGAGAGTGGGTCTTATTTATTGATGTAATGTTTTGATCTTAAATTTTTTTTTTTTTTTTAAATTTTCACCTTATTAATGGTCTATTAATCTTCCCAAATTAGTGGGATATATCATTATAGGTTGGTATGGGATACATGTCCGACAGCGTAATCGAGGCCCAGCAAAGATTCCCCCAGCCTCCGACGCCACTACCCATACATACTTCAGACTAGTTTACTTAGGCCGTTTTTGGACTAAAGCTCCATTTGGAAACAAAAAAAAAAAAAATTTACCATGCGTATTTTTACTTTTCAAAAAATATTTTTTAAAAATTTTTACTTTCTTATTTTTTATATTATTTTGTTTTTACTAAATTGTTTTAATATTTTAAGCAATTTTTTTACTTTTTAGACACACTTAATATAAATACACCTAAAAAGTAAAAAATATTATAAAAAAAAATATTTTAAAAATTTACTAAATACCAAAAATATAAAAAAATACAAGAATTCAGTATATTTTTTTATATTTATTAATTTTTTAAAATATACTTTCATAAATTTTTTACTTTTTAGATACATCTAAGTAAGGTGCATTTAAAAAAGTAAAAAAAAATGTTTAAAATTTAAAAAATATTCACTAAAAACAAAAAAACACGAAAACCAAAAAAATCAATTTTCAAAAATCTTAATTCAGAAAACTCAAATCAAACACACTGATTGTGTTATGTAGTTTCGGCCAAAAAAAAGTTAAAATGACTTTTTTTATTATCAAATTATTTGAGAAGTCAGTTAAAAGTTACTTGTGAAATTATAATTATATCTTTTATGATGTTTAAATGAGTCATATGGGTGAAAGTGATTATTTTTTAAAATGCGTGGGAATATTTTGGTCATTTAATTATAATATGACAACATAAATAAATATTAAATAAAAATAAATAAAAATAAACTTTTTACCAACTTATCAAATGACATTCTAAAAAAGTCAAAAAGTTTAGTTAAAAATCAAAAGTCAACTTTTAACTATCTTTCCAAAATACTCCTAAGGTTGTTTTAAAAAGTTGGTTAAAAATTGACTTTTTAATTTATTTATTTATTTAAATATGAAAAAAATAGAGAAGTAATGTGACCTAAAAAGGTTAAAAGCCAAATCACGTTCCCAAATTGGCCCTAAATATTTTAGTCAAAAAGTTAAAAAATTATTATAAGTTATCATATCACTCTCTTTATTTTTTTACACATTTTTTTTTATAAAAAATCAAAAAATTACTAAAATAGTATGTTTTCAAACGAGAGGTGGTTTGGATTAGGACTGGGCATAGGGTTATCCGACCCGCACAACCCCCATTACCCTACCCAACCCGCACACGCATGGGCAGTTTCGCAAATATAATAGGGTAGAGTGCGATTTGGAATATAGCAAGTTTTCAGGTTGCGAGTTTGAACCACACCCGCCACAACCTGCGCCACACTTAGAATATATATATTTTATATTTTTTTAAAACCTAGACGGTTCATCTATGATCTATCCTAAATATTTTTGTTTTGACCAAACAAATCAAACCCTAATGCATTAGGAAACAATTTTCATAAGCTCTTATTTGAACCATGAATTAAAAAAAATGCTGAGAGGGCTTCGTTTGGAAAGTGGGTTGACTTTTTGACTTTTTTGGCTATTTTAGTCTGAGCTAAAAAGCTTAGTTTGGGAAGGGCTTTTTGACTTTTTGACTTTTTTGAGTTTTTTTGTGAGAGAATAGTGTAATGATTATGGATTGGATGTGATGTTTTGTTTGTTGTGATTAAAATAGCCTATTTTGTCTTTTGTGACTATTTTAACCAAAAAAACCCAAAAAGCCTCTTCCCAAACAGAGGCATAATTGATGAAGAGATGCAATATATTCTTATTCTTCTCTTTCTTCTTCTTCTTCTTTTTTTTTTTTTTTTCCATTTTTTCTCTTGGATATATATATACATAAGTTTTTTTTTTTTTGAAAGTATATATATGTAAGTTATCTTGGAAAAGAATGATGCCTTAGACTTGTCAATGAATCAAGTAACAACTTTATGAATCATGTAAATTTTGTGTAATATTTAAAAATGTAATGTATTAATATTTATTTATAACTAAAAAATTTTGGATTGAGTTTCTGTACTGTAGGAATTCTTGGCCTCTCCTATAAAATTGTCCATTCATTCATTTTGAATGTATCATTGAAAAAATCATACCTGAAATCTCAATACCGGTTTTTTTTTGTTTGATCTATATTATGAGTATTGCATAGCCTAACATTTGCTTCTATCATTGAACAAAATTGTGGTGCGTAGAATTGGAATTTAGAAAATTGGAGAAAAATAATCCAAAATAAATATTTATAAAATGGGAAAAAAAATTCAAAAGTAAAATTTTGAAAGTGAAAGGTCCAAACCGTAAACCGCCTACAACAGCTTATAAATCCGCGAACTCTATCCGCACAACTCGAAAACCGCACTGTGAACGATTGCGAATTGACTTTTTCCCAAATCGCATAAATGAGGGTGGGTCAAAATCAAACCACAAATCACACAGATGCAATCTGCGACCACCCCTAGTTTGGATAGTTTGAAAATTAATTA